GCTGTAAAGATTCTCTGCAAAAATGAGGACTCTGGGTTGTTTGTTTTTTTTTTTCCCCTGCCTCTTGTCTGCTTCAACTGTGAATGAGACCCAAGAGTGCCAAATTCTCATTAGTGTCCCAGGTAAGGTCTCTTGTACCTAACCCTTACAGAGTCTTTTCTGTATATAAGGGTTTGGCTGGTTTGGGAAATTCTTGGGATCCTCATGTCAGGTATGGTACTGCCTCATCTCCTCATACCAGTGCTCACCAACACTTATGGCATGTCCTCATGCTGATTTCTGCTCTGAGAATAGTTTTAGATATGGGAAAATGCAGCAACAATTCTAACCTAAATAAACTGTTGTTTGTTTGATTTTCTTTTTAGTGCTTTGGGTGTTTCTCAGAGTCACAATATGAAGAAATACTCTTCTTTTCAAAAGACAGGTGAAATCTTCAAGTACTCATTGGTCTTCCTCAGCTGAGGCTTAAGGTAAAATACCCAGTGTTGGAAGATTGATGGTGAAGTCAAGCACATAGAGAAAACAGCATCAGAAGTGTATCAAGAGTCAGGCTATGTTGGGAAAGTCCTTGGGAGAATCCCAATAGAAGGGTCTATACACTGTGGTTTTCAGTATTTGACCTTGAGATTTGCTACCTCTTTCTTGGATTTTGCAAAGAAACTACAGTTTATGATAGAAGTCACTGGGATAGAAAGAATTCAAGGCAATTTGCCTTATTTTTCTGCAACCCTGTTTTGAAAAGGTTCACTGTTTGTTCTGTGACCTGCAGACAGTACCCAGAGGTCCATTACTATTACAGTATTTGTAGATATAACATGAAATCCAGTAGTGGAAATTATTGAAGTAATTACCTTGCCAGATAGGGGAGTCTCTTATTTTGGTGTTCATGTTGAATACTGCTATTGTCTTGAATAAAATTATTGCTTCTTTGTAAGGGGGGAAGAAGTCAAGAGAGGTGAATTGGTGGAAAAAGCTGAAATAAAGTCCTCAGGGATAAAAAAGATTTCAGTGTCTATTATGTCTAAAATGCTTCTTAGACACCTAAGTTTTCAGTAGAACAGTAAATGAAAAGGTTACCTTTTTCTGAGTCTTCTGCACAAGAGCAGCCAAGTTTAACTGCATATAAACAAAAACTTAGGGAAGAATGCATTTGTAATCTCACTGTAATAACCTTCCCTTTGACGTAGGATTTGTTTCTTTTAATACTGCAGGGTTGCTACTTTTTTTTTTTTTTTTTAAGAGTAGATTAGTGTTTCCGAGCAGCAAGCTAAATACTGTAGTAAGTTACTGCTGCTTTCTGCTTCCACAAATATGATCCATCTTGTTTAACAGAAAAGCCCTGCAGTGTCGTATACAGATTTGTGGGTGGCAGAGAGCTTCCCATTGATGTCCTGTGTGCCTCACTGCCGTCGTCAGGGCTGGGCTGTGTTAGAAGCAGAGATGTAAGACATCAGATACAGCCTAACCATTGGATTTTAATGCTACAGTGAAACGAGCCCCTCAGGTTGTCCTGGCAGGCCCACGGGCTGCAGGCGCTATCTTCCAGTGCCAGCTTCGGCCTTCTGCTGCCATCTGCTGCTCTCCTGACAGTCAAAAATGGGTGTTTGTTTCCTGGAAAACAGCTAAGCCAGATCTTCTCCTGCCCGTCCT